TTGAGGTCCCTTCCAACCCAAACCATTCTGTGATTCTACCTTTTTGTCTTTGTGGGGAAATAGTCCTCAGTTGTGACGTTTGGCCGCGTTTGTGGAACGTGATGTGAGACGTGAAGTGGAAATTTGCTGTTTCTGTCTGTTGTTGTTATATCTAGAAAATAAATGATCTCCTGTATTCTTCAAAATTATTAAATTACAGATTTGTGTTTGTTCCTTCAACAGAGAAAATACGGTGTCGTCCTGGATGAAATTAAAGCCAGTGCTAGTCCTGAGCTGCAGGCAGTGAGGATGTTTGCAGAGTATCTTTCAAACGAGAGTCAAAGGTGAGGCTGATAATAAGTTGGAACTCGAGTCCTGCCTAACAGGGGGTATGTTTCCATCTGGAAAGTTTCTTTCAGAACCCTGGTCTTTATCGTGATTTCCTGTAGTTCTGCAGTGAATCTCAAAAAGGCCGAATTGTGTCGGGGCAGGATCTGTTTGTCTCGCTGAGCAATGGGACCCTCCCAAACTCTGCCCCCTGCTCCTCACAGGGACACGATCGTTGCCGATTTGGACAAGAAGATGGCAAAAAGTGTCGATGTGGCCAACACGTTTTCTGCTGATGGCTGCTTCTATCTATTTCCACGACAAAAATCCCGACGCGGCTCTGCGCACTCTGCATCAAGGGGAGAGCCTGGAGTGGTGAGTGTGGCCTTGGCATGGCGGAGGCATGTGCTGGCAAAGCCTTCTCTCTAGGGAGAGGTGCCGTAGGAAGGCTGAGGTCTGCCTTGAAACCATGGAGGAGCTGCTTTCAGCTTTGCCTTCCGAGTAGTGAGCGACTCGGTGCTCGTCCTGCGACATCAGGTGTGGTGTGAAACTCCCGTGTGAAGCTCAAGAACCCGATTTATTGCTTCACGTGTGTTCAGAATTGCTGAGATGAGCGTTGTGGCAATACAGTGAGGGAGCACCTGGCAGCCAGGAGCAGCTTCCCAGTTCCAGGTCCTGCTCCAAGAGCCGCCTGCTCTGCTGGCTCCCTGTTCCGTTGGCTCCCACAGCAGGGAGGCTTGTCCCTGGGTGCTGGCAGCACCTCTTCCAAGCGACACACGGTGAGCAGCAAAGCCTGCAGCTGTGGAAATCACTGCTCTTGTTCCTTGCAGCATCGCCATGATGATACAGATTCTTCTGAAGCTTGACAGGCTTGATCTGGCTCGGTAAGTTTGTGTCTGTTTGCTCCTCAGTGGTGCTCTTGTGGGGTGGGTCCTGAGAAGGGAATTTCCATCAGTCTCCCCCAGGTGCAGCGTTTTCCTACCTGCAGTGGGCAGAAGAGCTTGTGTGTCGGTCTGGGTGCTCTGCAGAACGGTTTTATTCTTCAGGTTGCAAAAGCTGTGGGGATAACAGAGCTGGGCACAGCTGAAGGATGACACAGACCTCCAGGTTCAGTCTGACCTTCAGCAGAATGTGGGTTCAATCTCTAGGCGTGGGTTCCTCACTGCCCCCTGTTTCACTTCCCTGTGGGATCTTTCACAAGTTGTTTCAGTAAAATATCAGGAGATGTTTGTGCCCCGTGACCAGCTTGCTGTGGCTGTTGTGCTGTAGTGGTGGAAGAGCTGAGAGAGGAAACTCCAGCCTTTTGTTTGTATCTTAAAGAAGTGCAGAAAAGGCCTTGTCTTTCTGTTATGTGACCCCCACTTTGGCTTCTCCAGCAAGGAGCTGAAGAAGATGCAGGAGCAAGACGAGGACGCGACTCTGACTCAGCTGGCAACTGCCTGGGTGAACCTGGCCATGGTGAGTGTCTGAAATGGTGGTCCCTGGGCTGCCACACCTGGGAAACACGGCTCCATCGCTTGTTCCTGGCTGCTCTCTCACATTGTGCTTCCAGAAAAACATGCAGGCTTTTCCTTGGTTTTGTTTGGTTGGTTTCCCCCCCCGCCCCTTCCTTTAAGTACACAGAAAATATTGGTGTCTGGTTTCACAAACTGACTGGCTGTTTTGCTCGTCAGCCTTTCGTCCATGCTCCTCAGCCTTCAGCTCACCCGAGGAGGAGCTAAACCACGCTGAAATAATTCAAAAATTATTCACAAATTCAAAAAAATTAACGAAACCTTACAATATAAACCAGAAAGCTGTGATGTTACTGGCATCCAGACCTTGCAGTTAAACTCCCAGGAAAAAAATGCAATTTTTTTCTGCTCTGCTCAGAGCAAACTGTCTTTAAGCGTGTTGTGAATCAGACAAAACCACACACTGTTTGCAGTCCGGGTGATCAGGGGACTGGAAATAAGTGGCCTCCTCAAATCCCCTGCAAGGTTGTGCATGCAATAACCCGTTACACTACTGGGATTTCTTTTTTTGGGGTTCATTTGGTCTTGTCACAAGGTCTCTCCTGCGTAGTCCATGCCTTACAGTAGCGTGTGGCTGGATTTTCCGTAGTTTCCACAAAGCATCCCACTTCTGCATGGTGGAAGCTGCTGCCTGTGGAACCTTTCTGAAGCTGGAATGCCTGAGAAGCCAGGCATCCCTACCTTTGTTTAATTAGAAAAGTCTGATTTCATAATCCTTTGTTACATCCAGTATCTGAAGTGGTTCTTTCGGAGTGTTGGGGTTTTTTTCTTTTTTGAATGGAAGCCTCCATCTTTTGGTCATTTAAGTGGTTCTTAATATTTAGTATTTTTGCATTTCTTTCATCTGCGGTCTGCCAGTGGTCTGTTGTGGCACCGGAGATCATGTGAATGCCAACAGCTGTTTGTATCCCTGGAAATGAACTCTGTGCCTGGTCCTTCAGCCAAGGCAAGAGCATACAGGCTTCTTAGCGACACGTGGTGAGACTGTGGGGGTTTGTCTGCTCCCTTTGCAGGGTGGTGAGAAATTGCAAGATGCCTACTACATCTTCCAAGAGATGGCAGACAAATGCTCCTCCACCCTCCTGCTCCTGAACGGGCAGGCAGCCTGCTACATGGCGCAGGGCAAGTGGGACGATGCCGAGGGGGTTCTGCAGGAGGCCTTGGACAAGGTATGTCCTGCTTTTGCCAGGTAGGTTTGCTCTCAGGGGTAGAAAGTAAAACAGCAAGGACTTTCACTGCTAAAGTTCATGAAATTACCAGAGTATGGGTCTGTACCGCTAAGGGCAGATGCTGTTAACACCTTTCCTTCTACTTTGCCCTTTCCAGCAGGGTGAGCTGTGGGTTTGGCAGAGCTTGTTCTTGCAGAACTGTACTGGTAGTCACACTCAGTCACGGGTAGAAGTCAGTCAGATAGATCAGGTGATTGTTCTTGTTTTCAGGACAGTGGCCACCCTGAGACCCTAATCAACTTGGTTGTCCTGTCTCAGCACTTGGGCAAACCACCAGAGGTGAGTCTTGTTGCGCTCAGCCAGCGGATACCATCAACCTGCTCCTGCTGCTGAGGGCAGGTTGTGTGTTCCCAGTGCTCCTGGTGACTTTGTTTAGGTTTTGTGTGTTCCCATCAGGGTTGGCATGAAGGAAATAGAATAGTTCTGGGGCGTGGGGAGCTCACATCTTCAACGTTCAGTAACGTGTGTGTGGGAATACAGGTGTTGTGGGAATACAGGTGTTGTGGGAATACAGGTGTTGTGGGAATACAGGTGTTGTGGGAATACAGGTGTTGTGGGAAATGGTATGTACTTAGGAGGAAGGCCTGGGTGGAAAAAGAAATCTCTTGAGAGTTCTGAGTTCATTTCTCACTGATTGTTTTCTTGAACACACCCTTTAAGGTCTGATTTTTAAGTGCAGAGCATGCACAGGTCTTACTGGTTTTAATTGGGGCTGTAACATTCAGGACACTGAGAAAATCAGATCTTTACTCACTGCAAACAAATAATGTTGAAGTGTGATGTTTTAAATTCTCGGCTTCTGCTCATGTTATCTCAATATTTAAATTTATCTGTCTTATCCCATCAGGTTACGAATCGCTATTTGTCACAGTTGAAAGATGCACATAAAAATCATCCCTTCATCAAGGAGTATCAGGCAAAGGTACTAATTGCTTTCTAATGGAAAATGGAGTGTGTTGTGCCTCATACTGGGGTCTGATGGGGCCACCAGCACGTTTTCTAGCCCTCGTGAGAGGTGCTGGGAAACACAAGCCGGGTGTTAAACAAAGGAGTGATGCACCCAGCCCTGGTAACATCTTGGAAGAGTAGCTCAGAGGTCGGAGTTCTTCATCTGAGTCGGATATTTGTTACCATCACACACTGCTTGAACAGAGGAAACATCCTTCTGGAAGAGAGAATCTGGGGAGGGGGAAAGGTAAAGATAATAGTGAAGGAGAAATGGAACAAACTGGAAAAAATTAAGAACTGGTACAGGTGATCTTGCTGCTTAGAATCCCTTTTGCCTTAGTGAGCTGCGATAGTAGTGTTCTCTTCAGCTAATGCAGGTTTTGTTAAATTTTCAGTGAAGTTCAAGATTTGCTCATTTTATTTGTGCTTCTGATTCGAAGGAGAATGACTTCGACCGGCTAGTCATGCAGTACGCCCCCAGCGCCTGAGGAGAGGGGAGCAAGGCTGCCAGCCCCTGTGGCACCTCGGGCACCGGGGCCGATGCGCAAAGCCTCTCCGGTAACACGGAAAAATGCCTTCTGGGAGTCGGTCTGGCTTAACTTTCTGTGGCGGGATCCTGGAACCCAGTGTGCCGGTGCGGAACCCGCGTGTAACGTGTAGCTACGTGAGTCTGGTGGCCCGTGTTCTGGCCTACCTGGGTCCTGCACGCCGTTTAAAATACAGTGCGAGTCAAGCGAAGCAACACTGTACCTTAAACATTCCTAATAAAGCCTTTTCTGCATCCCTGTGCCCCTTAATTTCTGGAATTCAAGTAATTCCACGCTGGGACTGAACCCCATCAACTGTACCGAGAGTACACTTGTGGGAAGAGTATGAAGATTGATCTTAAGCATTTGCATTCAGTGCATGGATGAGTCCTGAGTTATGGATGTTCCTTCAGGCTGACTGCTGACTCCTCCGTTAACTTCGGAATCTCTGGAAGAAGCACGCACGGCTGTAGGGGTTACTGCTGGTGAGAGGGAAAGCTTCCCCAAAATAAAAATAATCCGATGGTAATAGGCTCAGCCTTAATCTGGAGTTGGTAAAACGCAGCAGCTCGTGTCCTGGAGCCAGGAAGGCGTCAGGTCTTCCCAAAGCACACGGTGCGTGTGGAAGTGCGCTTGTCGCCGTGAGGCTGTGGTGGGTGTTGAACCTGACGTGTCGTGGGATGTAGCGTGATCCGGCACTCCGTGGTGATGGTTTTCTGCAGCCTCGGGCTCCTGTCTGCCATTTCAGGCTACTGTATGTGCCGAGCGAGTGTGTCGCATCAGGGATGCAAAGAGCAGGTGTCCAAGGAACCCTCAGCTGGGACTCCTGGACTCTCATGTTCCAGTTACCTTTAGAATTCTGAACTCTAATATTCCAGTTATCTTCAGAATTCTCATTTCAGTTGCAAAGGGGGGGAGAAGAAGAGTTTATGCTACACTGTAAATGTGTCCAACCGGCGTTTCCTTTGTGCCCACCTCGCCCGGGCTGCTCTGAAAGGGCTCATTGTCTCCTTCCTTGGCTCGTTCAGCCAGCGGCTACTTTCAGTGAGGGGTTATTCATGGTCCGGTCTGGAATGAATGTTTCCTTTGTGGAGCCGTCTGAGGGAGACGTGAAAGGGGCTTGTGTGTGCGGGGCAGCCGTTCCCCACTTGATGGGCCATGATAAATTGACTTAAAAACGTAAACAATAAAAGCAAGTGGCATAGCAGGAGCCAGCACTGTCCGTGTGGGAATAGGGGAACATGTTGTTCGGACCTCGGAGGAATGAGGTTGTGTTTTCCCACTGCTGCCCCAGACCGACCAGAGGGGTTCCAGAGAATGGCTGCGGCCGGGGGAATGACTTTAAATGACATTAAATTTTCTTTCCCTATTGAGCTGGTTCAAGCTGCAGTGCCACGAGTGCCCGCGGTGGTGATGGTTGTTCTCCATCCCTTGCAGTGCGGATCCCACAGCCACAGCTCAGTACTGGTGCACTGGGACACAACCCAACTCCGTTTACTCCTCCGTGGCTGAACCCGAATTCCGCTGCGCTGCTCCAGCGCCTTCGGTCTGAGGCTCCTGTTGTGCCTTTCCAGGAGACAACTGAAGTGTTGGCATTTTAGGAGAATCTTCATCTGAAGCTCACGCTTTTCCTAGCAAGCCAAACGTCTGGCTGTCGGTGTATGACTGGGATACGTGACCCATAACTTTTAATTTTAAACATGCACCTAACGAGATTTCTGTTGTATGAGTCAGCAGCGAGCTGGAGAGCAGCAAGCTGCCTGCCTTCTGGAGAAGGCCTTTCCTCAGGGGTGACCTTTTGGGAGTTCATGGTTGCATTTTCCAGGTGCATCTCGTTATTCCAGAGCCACCCAAACTGCCACAGGTGCAGGAGTTGAGCTGCAGCCGGGTGGAAGCACCTGGTCCCCACAAAGCCTTTCAGTGCAGAGCAGAGGGACGGATCTTCTGCTGCTGGGAGTTATGGAAAAGGGAAAGATCTGGATGAATGTTTCTCTTTGCAATATCACATGAAAAAACCGTGAAAGGGTGGATGTTTAGCGAGGGGTTTTGGACGTGGGGAACTGCAGGAGCTCTGTGGTGTGGGGCAGCGTTGCCAAGACGCTGTGGGTGACCTCCAGCCCCCACGGCCATCAAAGGGTGCTCCTTGGCGGGCACGGCAGTTTGCCCCTGTTACATCATCGATCGTCATCTCTTGATACCGAAATATTAGTGTTTGTCCCCATTCTTGCTGCTGGAGCGACTCCAGCCTC